GTCCCGCGCCCTCTTGTAGATGTGGTTTTTAATCCATGACCCTCACTGGTAGGATGGCTTGATGGCAGTGGGCTTCTGGGCCATTCTCCACCATCTGTTTGGTAATTCTGGGCCTCCTCGGGAGGCCTTCAGGAGAGAGGGCGTAGAGCCAGGAACTGGAACTTGGCCACAGTGGCCATCCCGTAGGCCGGGTGCAGCCTTCTCCCCGCAGGAAGTTCACTGCCAAGTCCACACCCCGACTGGAGCTGCTTCCTCCTCAGGCTGAACCCCTGGTGGGTTATTTCTGATGGGACCTGGTTCCCTGATGGTGGACAGCTCTTCTGTGTCGTGTGTGTAGAAGAACGGAAGTATGGACGCTTGGCAGCATGGCGCACGCCAAGGCCATTCTTTGCCGATCCAATAGCGATTCCTGTCCTTCCCATCCGCTCTGTCATCCCCCCCCTCAGCCTGGCGTAGCTGTGCCATGTCTCCTTGAGGGGCAATGTTCTAGCCAAAAGTGTCACACGTGGTCACACTCACACACCTGTGGGTCTTTTCTGCACACTGCACAGACCCGAGTGCTGTTTCAGCTCCTTCCGGAGGCTGGATGCCCGAGCGGCTACCGAAAAATTCAACCAGGACCTGGGTTTCCGCATGCTCAACTGCGGAAGGACAGACCTCATCAACCAGGCGATCGAGGCCCTGGGCCCGGACGGGGTGAACACTATGGACGACCAGGTGCGTGCGGAGAGCTCCGCTAGCCAGGCGTAGGGCATAGAGTCGGGGCCTCGTCATTGCCGGGTGGTGGCCCAGTCCTTCTGTCCCAAACCTGAGAGCCGCTCATCTCTGTGCTGCTGACAAACGGGCGGCCTCCCAAATCGCGCCCTGCCTGTTCCTGGTGAGACGTCAGCTCGAGGACCTTCCTAGCACCCCTTGGAAAACCCTTGTAACGGAGGTTCTGCCTCCACTGTCTGGAGGGCTGGAGGCTGTCCCAGATGGCGCAGGGCTGGGACAAAGTCCAGAGGAGTCAGCTGGATTTCCAGCTTTGGGCGTCAGTCACGAGGGTGTGCTTTAGGGCACCTCGTGCGCCTCCTGCGTGCCAGGCCCGTGGAACCCGCCGCCTTGGTGGCAGTAGCAGGCAAACATGTGCTAGGAAATAGAAATGTCCAATACAGAGCAGATTCGTGAAAAGTGCTAAGGAGTAAAATCGAGCTGGAAAAGGAAGCGTTGGAAGTGACTTATAATTTTAGATAGACTTTAACTTGAAGGTTTTTTTTTGTTTGTTTACTTTATTGTTTTTGCTCTGAAGAGCTCACATTTATAGAGCTCACTGCTATGTTCCAGGCACTGTTCAAAGCACCTTGCACAGATGAACTCATTCAATCTTGACAGCAGCCCTGTGATGTCTGTACTATCATTATCCCCATTTTACTGATGAGGAAACTGAGGTACAGAGAAGTTGGTTTACCCAAGGTCACACAGCTAGCAAGGAGCAGAGCTGGGCTTACAAGCCATCTGACTCCAGGCCCTTCGCCACAAGGCACTGTCCGGTTTGTTTATCTGACGCGGCCTTGTGAGTCCTTGCCATGGAGGTGATGGCACTGCAATTTGGAAGGCCACACGGAAGCGTGCGGAAGGCGCGGTGACAGCGGAGGACTTGGGTGGAATGCTCTCCCACGAGATGACAGCACAGGACAGGGCGGGCTGATGTGCCAGGTGAACCCCAAGGCCGGGTGGCCCTGGACTGGTGACGGGTCAGGTGGAGTGGCGGGAGAGGCGGTCCCCTGGAGGAGTCCGAGCCCAGCCAGAGCCAGGAGGACCTTGCCTTGGGAGGAGCAGGGGGATGAAGCACAGAGCAATGGGACAGGCACTCCCGGGACAGGAGATGACCCGGAGAGCAAGAGCACGGAGGTGGGGCAGTCAGGACACCTGCTGGGGTAGGGTCAGGGAAGTGCCGAGGCAGGGCAGCGGGGAGGCGACAGGCTGGGCGTCAGATCTCCCTGGGGCGCCTCTGTCAGCACAGGTCCCAGGGCCTTGCAGGAGCTTTTGTCCTGGGGCATCCTCTTCCTCCTCGGGGCGCAGGGCCGTCCACCCTGTCAAAGCCCTGGCGTCTCGGACGGGCTGCCTCGCCCCCAGCAAAGGGGGCCGGCGGTGCCTGCCCCGTAGGGTTAGGGGACACATCCGCGTCAGGCACGTAGTTAAGGCTCAGTAATGTTCGTTCTGGGTCCTGTTGTCCTCGCGAGGACGACAGCGGTTATCTGTGAGCGCTGGTCACCAGCCGTCTTCCTGTACCTGCCTCGGGGATGGGGCTGACAGTTGCTTCTCACAAGACCCCCCGACTTAAATGCTGAACCGTGCACAGATGTGTGGGGAAACAAGAAGTCGAGCATGTGCGGCAGGGGCTGAGACAAAGCCCGAGCCTCACTCTGCAGCGCTTGGCTCCTCTCTAAATGCTCGATCCTGTTGTTCCCTCAACCTTGGTATTTATAGAATGATCTGTGGGTAAACAGCCCTCTCGCCCATGACTAATGTCAGGCCATTTCTTTATCTCTGGGCACTAGGCAAGGATTTATGAGGTAAGGAGATCTTGTCTACACACAAATAACCTAATAAATAACATCGCAGGGCTCCAGACAAACGCTTGCCAGGATCCAGCTGTGGAATAACACTTTCCACTGCTGTCTTTGCTATTACTGGCCACGGAGAAAGATTCCCAGCCAGGAGGCGGCCCCACAAACCGTCCGCCCAAACGCAGGGAGGGACTGGGCCTCAGCTTTCGGAAAAGCGCTGACTTGCTCAGTAGCACGAAATGGTCAAGGCAGAGCCCTCTCCACCCTCCGTGCGCAGCCCCGGAGCGTGAGCTTCACAGCTCAGGCGGGTCTGGTTCCAGGGCCGGCCCTTCCTCCCGCACCCTGTGTGACCTTGCCTTGGGTCTCTCTGTGCCTCGTCTGTACAGTGGGGATGAGAATAGAGCCTCCCTAACAGGGATATTACGGTGACTAAATGAGACGCTGCATGTGAATCACTTCGCAGGGCGATGAGGCGCGCAGGGCCTGGGGCGGGTTAGGCTATGGCAGCGTGACAGTAGCAGGGATGGGGTCATTCGTTGTGTTCTTTTAATTAGGTAGCTCTTAAGGTAAGCTTGCTCTGTACTGAGCACTTTACACGTAGTAACTCGTATTGTTCACAAATCTCTGAGGTAGATACTGTCGTTATCCTCCTTTTAAAGATGAAGAAACTGAGGCACAGAGGGAGACCAGTAACCTGGACTAAGTTTACAGCTCGCCGTGGCAGAGGTGACCTTTGTGCCCGAGTCCAGCTGCGGGGCCCGGGCTCCTCACCCCTGTGTCCCACAGTGCCTGTGGAACTGTCCCCTGCTCACCCTTCACATGTGGCGTGTCCAGTGGGCCCAGAAAGGGCAGAGGTTGGGCCATGACACAGGACTGCTCAGGACGAGCAGCCGAGTCAAGCAGGAGACGGGACGGTGGTTTCTGGGACCGAGGCCTGTGGAGTACGTGTCACTGTGTCTGTTTCCAGATGGTTTAGCGTCTGCCTCTGGTTCACACAGGGTCTGACGCCGCTGATGTATGCCTGCGCTGCTGGGGATGAAGCGATGGTCCAGATGTTGATTGACGCGGGAGCGAACTTGGACATCCAGGTGAGCAGGCCCCAAAGAGCCACAGCCGGGCCGCTGGCCCAGCAAGGGAGCACCCAAGGTGTCCATCAGCCACGCTGGGTGCAGTGTTTTGGACAACCGGCTAAATGGTTCTTGGAGGAATGGGTACGGAGATAACGGCAGAGAGGGCATTGCCTCAAACTTGGGCTTTGTGTCTGAGAGCAGGGGGGTGAGTGGAGAGAATGGCCATGGTTCTGTTACCGTAACACCGGTCCCTCTTAACCAGCCTCGTCCCCTCCCGCCCCTACCACATCCACCGTCCCCAGATGCATTTAGCTCTGCTTCCCTCTGCGGCCTGGTGCCCTTCCTGCGGTGGATCTGCCCAGGGCCAGCGGCGCTAAGTAAACATCCTTTTTTTTTAAACATTTATTCATTTTTGAGAGAGTGTGAGTGAGGGAGGAGCACACAGAGAGGGAGACACAGAATCCGAAGCAGCCTCCAGGCTCCCAGCTGTCAGCACAGAGCCAGACGCGGGGCTCGAACTCACAGACCACGAGATCATGACCTGAGCCGAAATTGGACGCTTAACCGACCGAGCCACCCAGGCGCCCTTAAACATCCTTTTGAGCCTTGTCTACATGGCGCTCCAGGCAGACGTTGCCGGTTGAACCCGGAAAGCCCTCGACTTGGCTCCTAGTCCCCATCCCTGCGGGATACCCCCTTAGCTCAGGCGCATGTGTATCTTGCCCGGGAATGTCACTCGCCCACAAAAACCGCTCATCCGTGGCATTTTCCAGGTTCCAAGCAACTCTCCCAGGCACCCCTCCATCCACCCTGACAGCCGGCACTGGACATCGCTGACGTTTGCTGTGCTGCACGGACACATCTCTGTAGTCCAGGTGAGCCTCTGCCAGGTGCGCCGGGCCCCAGACGCAGCCCCTGCCTGGCCCAAGCCAGCGGCCGCCTGGAATCAGAGAGAGCAGAGGTACTGCTTAGAGTCAGCCACCGGGTCAGCAGGGCGGGCCCCACCCCGCCCCCTACTTTGCCTCAGGCAGAGGGCTTTCATACAAGGATATGTGTGGCCTCAGCAAGTAAGACCCAGGCCTGAGCAGTAGCAGGCCTGGCTGGCATCTCCGGGTCTGTCAGGGAGTCCCGGGGCGTGCTGGAAGCTGCAGATGTGCTCTGTCTTCCCTCCTCCAGCCATCTCCCCCCACCCCCACCTCGAGCTCGTTCTCCTCCCTCGTGAATGGTCCCCCAGAGCCGGCTCGGTATCATGGCGTCCTTCTGGCTCTGCCCGTCCCCATTAACAGGCCCAGTCTTTCAGTCTCCCGGTTCCTGAGGGCACTCAGAGGGGCACAGCTCAGGGGTCAAGCCAGGCTACGCCACACGGTGCCCACCTCGGCCCAAGGTAGCCGTGGCCGGTGTGAGTATGGGGTTCGGGCCTAGAAGTAGAGCAGAGCGGCGTCCCACCCCGGGTAGGACACCAGCCACACTGCCGCTCGACTCCCAGACTCCTTTGCTCCTCAGGCCACTGGGGTATACAGGGTTGCACGCCCCTTCCTGGGAGTTCGCGTTACACCTTGCTGTCTGTCTGTCTGTCTGTCCGTCTGTCTGCTAGATTGCAAGTCCTCTGAGGGCCGAGGTCATGTCCAGGCTATTCATCATTGTCAGCACAGCCCTGGGCTGTGGCAGTGACTCAGTGAGTGGTCTTCACCAGGCCCGCTGCCCTATCCTGCCTGCTTTTTGGTTACTGCCGTCCTAACGACCCGAGCAGGCTTCCATCCTAGCCCAGACCGGCGGCCTGCAGGGCCGTGCCCTGGACTTGCCTGGATTGGTGCCCAGTTTCGCCCCATCGGGCAGGCCTCCACCTCCCCCACCTTGGCACACTGGCTCAGGCGGCAGCCACAGCTGGGTTCTGACCGACAAGAGCCTCCAGCTGACGGCCGTTCCCCGCCTCCCAGCCGCCCATGGCCACAGGTACCCACCTGGGGTTCCCGCCCCGTGTGATGTGGGAGCACGAAACAGGCTCCCCCAGGGGCAGCAGAAGAGCTAGAGAGCTTTCCAGATGGGAGTTGTGCATGTAAGCCACCCGGAAAGGCGATGCAGTGGAGGCGTGGAGGGCAGCCTCGACCCCTCGTACCTGGTCTCCGGGTGTGAGACAGCTGCCGTGCAGGCTGGCCTGCCGGGTGCAGGCTCCGAGAAGGGTTTGGTGTCCAGAAACCCGGGAAGGATGGAAGTGCTCCCACCGGAGCAGCCTGTCAGGTCAGGGAAGGTGAGACGCAGCCGGCGGTGGCCTGTTGGGGCAGTGCAGACACCGCCCCTGCCCCGAGGCAAAGCCGGCCCGGCTCAGCTGGAACTGCCGAGTATCCGCCAGCCCCGGGCCATCTTGCCCTTGCCGGCACGGAGAGAGGCGCCCTGGATGACGAGCTTTCCCCCCAGTCCTGCGCCTCTCAGCCCCGGGTTGCTTGCCAGACCTCTCAGTGAGAACCTTCTGGTTATTGGATCCCCGTGGTGGGTTGAGTGCCATTTCGTATCAACGGCCTCTTGCCGTCTTCCAGATGAGGAAGGCCGAGGCCCAGAGGGGTTGAGGTTTGTGCCCCAGGTCCCTGACTGGTTGGTGGCCGGCACTGGCACTCGGCTCATTCTGGGCCTAATACCTGTGCCTTTCCCACTACTTCTGCTGCCTCCCAGAACCTCAGTTCCCCCACCTCAGTTTCCCCTGCTGGATTGGGATGATACTTTCCACTCTGTTCATTTGCATAATTTTTTAGAAAGGTCACCACAATTAAGTCACAGGAAAGCATTTTTTTTAATTTTAATTTTTTTTTAACATTTATTTATTTTTGAGAGAGAGAGAGCACGAGCCAGGGAGGGGCAAGGAGGGAGGGAGACACAGAATCTGAAGCAGGCTCCAGGCTCTGAGCCCACCGTGAGACTCGAACTTGTGAACCACGAGATCGTGACCTGAGCCAAAGTTAGACCCTTAACTGACTGAACCACCCAGGCGTCCCTCCCCAGGAAAGCATTTAAAAGCGAGAAACAGTTCAGATGTCCCCACGGCTTAGGGGCTTGGTCCAAAGTCACAAGAACAGAGGTGCAGATTCTAGAAACATGGAGCCCTGAGGCTAACTCCAAGTTCTAAAGTTCCAGTTCCTCGGCTGCCCAGGGGGAGTAGGGTCTCGGTCACATGCCTAGAGGGAACTCGTTGAGGCCTTTCTCACAGATACTCCCTGCTACACTGACGTGTCCTGTCCTGTGCCCTGCAGTTGCTACTGGATGCCGGTGCCCACGTGGAGGGCTCAGCAGTGACTGGCGGTGAGGACAGCTACACGGAGACACCGCTGCAGCTAGCCTCTGCAGCTGGTAGGTATACAGCTGGCTCGGCCCGTAGCTGGACTTGCGGCCCCGTGCCCAGATCCCTGGGGTGAGCCTTGAAACCCCTCCGTCTGAGGCCTCCCCCTGGCCCCATTCATCAGTGTTTCTCTAGAGCTCGGCACCCAGGTGGGGGCCAGCAGACAGGCGCGGTGCTGTGGGCAGTGGTAGCATCCTTCGTCGGCCTTGTCTTCCAGGGAACTACGAGCTGGTCAGCTTGTTGCTGAGCCGAGGCGCTGATCCCCTACTCAGCATGCTGGAAGCCAATGGCATGGCCTCCTCCCTCCATGAGGATATGAACTGCTTCAGCCACTCAGCCGCCCATGGCCACAGGTACCCACCTGGGGTTCCCGCCCCGTGCGATGTGGGAGCACGAAACAGGCTCCCCCGGGGGCAGCAAAAGAGCTAGAGATCTTTCCAGATGGGAGTTGTACATGTAAGCCACCCAGAAAGACGAGCAGGTCCTCGATCAGCAGAGAGGCCTCAGATGTTGGACGCCCAGAGACACTGGGTGGCAGAGAGGTCCCCTTGCTGGGAGAAGCCCCCCAGCTCGTTCCCGGCAGACCGGGACTGCAGCCTGGGTCTCCCAACACCCAGGGCAGGCTCTCCCATTTCCTATAGACTCCAGTACTGACCCATCTCGGGGCCACGTCCTTTCCTGTGCTCAGTGGTTCTTCTCCGGGCCCACGGTGGCCTCCTGGACCCCCGGGGCCTTCGCACAGCATATGGCTCAGCCTCGAAGAAGCTCCTGGCGGCCGTGTGGGAAATCACACCCCGCTGCCAGAGCAGATGGCGGATCTTGCTTTGTGGGGGCCAGGCCTGCCCAGGGCTGTGGCGGGGAGGCAGCGGGCTGAGCCCAGAACCATCCGGCAGCTCTGGGGGGCAAAGTCAGACAGAGAGGAGGTTATTAGAAGGCAGGGGAGGGGCCAGAAGGGAGGGGCAGCCGGGACAACTACTTCCTGTTCTCCAACGCCCTTCTCAAAACCTCTTCACCCTGCGTGGAGACCGTCTGTCCACTCACCTGCTACCCACTCTCTCTCTCTGGAACACGGATCGGGGACAGGCATGGCTGGCTCACCTTCACATACCCGTGCACGGCACAAAGTGGGTGCTCTGTAAACTTGGTGAGCAAAGCTACCGCCGGATGACCCCGAGTCTCTCAGAGGGGTCTCTGCGTGGCACAACATGACCTCCAGCACAGAATGGGGTGGGGGCTGGGCTGGGCTGCCGCCGGAAGGAGGCTCAGCCGGAAGGAGGCTCAGCCCCCAGGTGACCTTTGGACCTGCCCATGCTGCAGCCATCCCAGGCCACAGGATGTGACAGAATGAGCCTGGGACATGGAACCAGAAGTCTGGGTTTGAGTCTGTACTCCTGCCCAGGGTGACCTTGAGCAAGTTGTATTCATCACACATGAATGGCAGCGTCCGTGGGATCTCACGGGGTGAAGTGCAACAGTACATGGGAACACGTTATGTCAAGTCTAACGTTCTACACACTGAATTCTGTGTAACAGGCGTCTTGACTTTAGGTCATTCTTCCTAATGGAAGGAAGGAAAAACAAATGAATATGAGCATGTCCTATGTTTCAGACACTTCCCATGAGTAAAATTGGCTGCTATCTCAGAGGACCGCTATGTATCAGGCTCTACGTGTGATGCCATCACCCTGGCCTGACATTAATTCTGGAGGAGGGTGAGGCTGGCACACTGCTCTGTAGATGACAGAGCGGTCAGGGCACAGAGACATAGAACAACCTGTCTGAGATCACACAGGCAAAATGGCGGGGCCTGCTTGGCCCCAAAGCCCATGACTTAGTAGTACCAGGATGGTAGGGGAGTGGTAGGGGAGGCCCCGGTGTCCTCCCTGCCTCCCTCGGGCGGCTGCAGATGGAGGGCGCTGGAGGCCTGGCCCAGCCCGCCTGGGAGGGGGAGATCGTGCGCACTTTGTGCCCACAGGTGCCCCGTAGCTCCCACATGGGCCCCGGGGCTCTGGAAGGCACCTCAGGTGGTTCCGTCCATGGTGAGGACCTCAGGCGTCACCCTCCTTTGTCCCTTGGCCTGCAGGAACGTCCTGAGGAAGCTCCTGACCCAGCCTCAGCAGGCCAAAGCGGACGTGCTGTCCCTGGAGGAGATCCTGGCCGAGGGTGTGGAGGAGAGTGACGCGTCCAGCCAGGGCAGCGGCAGTGAGGGGCCCGTGCGGCTGAGCCGGACCCGCACGAAGGCCCTGCAGGAGGCCATGTACTACAGTGCTGAGCACGGCTACGTGGACATCACCATGGAGCTGAGGGCGCTGGGTGAGAACTCGCAGGCATGCACGTACACACACGTGTGCACGCACGCGCACGCGCGCTCTCCTGCTCTGCGGCAGACAGGAAGGGGGCGGTGCCCACAGGGGCAGATGGGCCACAAGGCAGCAGGGCACCGGGCGGGACCGGTCTACGCAGGCCTGATGGCCAGGACAGGAGCTGCCCGGAGCCTCAGTCCTCAGCAGAGGTGCGTCTTGAGGGCATCGCCCCGCCTCAGGCCCTTCATCCTCCCTGGTCAGAGCTTCCCCGCCCCAGGGCCTGGTCACGGCCTGGGATGTGCGGCCCCGGGGTTGAGTCAACTTTTCTGGTCACCTGGATGTTCTCCTGTCACTCGGCCGAACTCTCCACTCTTCGGGTCTGCAAGTCTGTGGGACTGCCCTTCCACCAGGGAGGCCGCTCAGACAGACACAGACCTGGGTGAGGTCCCAGCCATTCCACAGGCGCTGATGGTCCTCATCTAAGAGTGCGATGTCACGTGAGGCACAGGGCCTGGCTCTGGCTCGCCACGAGCGCTCGGTGCACGGCAGCGGTGTCCCTGCTCTCACAGGGGCCACAACACACAGACCCCTAGCACTGGGCCAGGGGAGCAGGAGGCCATGCTACCTTCTTGCGGCCAGTCAGGCTCAGTGTTCTTCACTGTAAAATGGGCGTATCATTCCCATCTACAGTCAGCAAACTGAGGATGCTAATGCCACCTAAGTCATGTGTCCCTAGGGAATGCCATCCGTCCTTTTTGGTTTAAATCCATATGAGGCTGGGGGGTAAGAAGCTATGTCTCTAATTACCAGGAAAATTACTAGTTTTTGTCATGACCTTCACAAAGTAGTTTTAAGTTACTTTATGGCCTCACTGACACACTCCAGGGAGCTGGTACACAGTAATTATGTGCCACTGAATGCCAGTGACCTGAGCGCTGGTAAAAGCCCTCTGAGGTAGGTCAGGATTCATTTTAGCCTTCTAGATAGGCGTGGGCCTATGTGTCCTGCCTATTTTCTAGGCATCCAAGTCCACCTGGCCATCCCTCATAATTAACAGGTCTTCCCAGTAAGTAGTTCCAGGGCCCCAGAGACGGTGGGACTGGCGTGGCCTCAGGCTGAGCCGTGCGGGTTCCTGGCACTCCGGCCGGCTCTCCCTCATCTGATGAGAACCTGAAATCCCCCTGACCTCAGCAAGCCTGTCAGGCCAAAAGGAAGCTCTTTACAGCTGGCTTCGGAGAGAGCCACTCAGCATGAGGGGACAGGGCGGGATGCTAGGGGACCAGAGGG